TGAGCCCAGGAGTTTGAGGTTGCTGTGAGCTAGGCTGACGCCACGGCACTCTAGCCCGGGCAACACAGTGAGACTCTGTCTCAAAAAAAAAAAAAAAAATACAGCTGAGAGGCTGGGCACGGTGGCTCACGCCTGTAATCCTAGCCATCTGGGAGGCCAAGGTGGGAGATCTCTTGAGCTCAGGAGTTCGAGACCAGCCTGAGCAAGAGCGAGACCCAGTCTCTACTAAAAATAGAAAAATTAGCCGAGTGTGTTAACACATGCCTGTGATCTGAGCTACTCGGGAGGCTGAGGCAGGAGGATCGCTTGAGCCCAGGAGTTTGAGGTTGCTGTGAGCTAGGCTGCCACCATGGCAGTCTAATGCAGGCAACAGAGCGAGACTGTCTAAATAAAACAAAAATCCAATTGAGGACACCCTGAGAAAAAAATATGATTGAACCAAGTTCATCCACACAGAGGCAAATATCCTAAATAAATACATGGCAAATCCAATACAGAAGTAAATTAAATGGAAAAAAAAAAAGTCTAGGTCCAAGGAATGCAAAATAACATAACATTAGAAAAGAACTGCCTAAAATATTACCACATTAACAGATTAGATTTTTTTAGAAAGGGCATTTGATCATGTACTGAAGTGCAGAAAAAGCTTTTAGAAAAAAGTTCAACACAAATACATGATAATATTTAGCAGACTAACATTAGAAGGGAATTTTCATTTCCTAAAATGTATTGCAAACAAACTTAAATGTGAAATGGGAAATTTAGGAGCATTCCCATTCAAGTAAGGACTAAGACACAGAAGTATGCTACATACATAGCCAGAGAATAAGAATACAAAAACAAATAAAATTAGAAATATTAAAAAGAAATAGAAATTATCTGGTGAAAACATGATCACCATTTTAGAAAATCCATAGGAAAAGGCCACAGGCTATCCAAATAAATAAGTGACTTCCGAAAGATGGTGTATAGATCACAATAGTAAAATCAAGAGCCTTGCTGCACAAAGCAGTGATATTAGAACATGTACATAATACATTTGTTACTGCAAATGAGATCAAAATTAAAATGAATGTCACTACAAAGTGCAATGTAATGTTAGATTAGGTCGAAAGATCTGGATCTCACCAAATTATGCAGATCTGTGTCTTCCCTGTAGAAAATAGATCTTTTAGAACAGAAAGTTCCCAAAAGCCTAAATTTGGCTAGTGAAGAGACCCCATGATCACTACGCACTTTCTTTGACAGCTCGGAACCTGTCTTTGGCCCCTACCTTGTGTTGCAGCGTCTCCATCTCACGTCAAGCCTCGGATGCAAACCCATCATCTGTAAGGGTTGAGGGTGAGAAACCGTCCAGAGTTTACTGCTTGGTGGTTATTTCTTCAAGGAACCTTTAATCAATGAGCCAGGAGCCAAAATATGGATACACCTCAGAAAAAAGGACTTACCACTCCGTAACACAGAGGGCACCACAAAGTCCCATCCTGTATCGCGCTGCCCCTACTAGCAGCCCTGGGACACCCCAAGCAGGGGTCCCGGATGTGCACGTGGGCTTCCGCCTCTGAAGTTCGTAGGAAGTGAGACGCTGTCGTGAGAGGGGTGGCATCTGATCCGCATCCAGAGCCTACCAGGAGGTAAGGCAAAGACAGTGGGCAAGGTTTGAGGGGATCCTCTATCGCAAAAGAGAAAAAGTAAAAGTTCACAGTCCTGCCCTTGCCGTGAGGAGAAGGCCGCCATTCCCCAACCGCCGCCCCCCCCCCGCGGCCCCCGCCCCCGCCCCCCCGCAACGGGCGGCAGGGATCACCTCAGGAATTTCGCTTTTAGAGAGTCAGGGAAATGGCAGCACTGGACTAAAGTGTTGGCATCAAGCCAGCAGAGGCAGGGAGGGTCCCATGACCTGCCAGGAGCCGATGAGGGGCCCTCCATGAGTTCTGTGAAACTTCCCCTCCCCCATAACCGAGGGGTGCTCACATAGCCCGACCCCTGCTGTCAGCTCTGGGAGATTCAGCAGTGGCACAACCGATTTCAAACTTTCGCGGCTCGAGGACGTGAGGGTATTGGACAGCAGAGGAAGGAGTCCCAGGCACTGCCTCGAGTTTATGAAATGCCCCTATGTGAGCTGTGGGGGAAACTGGCTCCCCAGAACAGGGAAGGCCTTACGAATCTTGCCCTTACTTACCGCCATCCCCGGAAAGCCCCTGGCATGACCGTAAGGCCCAGGTGCCCCCTTGCGTCACTTTTTTCTGGTGTGTGTGCGGGAGGGGTGCATAAAAGCCTTGATCTAAAGCTGGATGATTCAGGTCAGCAGAGGGAGGAGTCATCGGGGTGACCAGGAGTTAAGTTTAGTTCCCTGAGCTAGGACTGAGGGGACTTTCTCCCCCAGGACAAACAGAGCTCTACAGAGCACCGCCGCTGCTATGAGCCTTGGTAGCCCATCGGCAGGGCTCTCAGGCTAAGGTATTCCTCCCTTTATCCTCAGTGGTCAGAGGGGGATGAGGGTTTGTGTTTGACAGGGAAGTTGCAGGTCATAAGAGAGAGGTGACCGGCCTAGAAGTCAAAATGAGGACTGAGGGGGGCAGGCACTGCCTCTGTGGTCAGCCTTGGGCAGATCTGTCATTCTGAGCACACACAACTCTCCTGCAACTGCACACTCTGGGATATCGGGTGGATGAGGGCCCTGTTCTGATCGGCATAAAGCCTCAAGTCTGCATAGGGGAAGGTACAAGGCAGTCAAGGTGAGGAGTCATGATGGGAAACCTAAGTATTCAGAACAGAGGACATTTCACAGAGCCCTGTACCTGCTGTCATTCCTGACCAGGGTCCCTGGGAAAGGATATGTCTGAGGCCTCCCTCATGTCCTCATCAGGAGTCTCAGGGATGTGAAGGCCTTGCTTTGAGGGGATAGGTCTCAGGTCAGCAAAGGGAGTGGAATCAGGCCCTCCAAGAAGCAAAAAGGTGAATACTCTGAATGAGGACTTAAAACTGATTAAGCCAGGACAGGGGGTCTCACAGAGCTCTGCCATTACTGCCATTCCAGGGTGTCCCCCTGCAGATGTGGTCACATGAGATTCACCCTCAATTCCTCGTCCAAGGAGTCAGGGACGTGAGGGCTTTGGAATTAGGGAATCAGCATCAAAACAGTTAAGCAGAGAGATCATAGGTCTGGCCAGAAGTCAAGGTGATGGCCCTGAACGTGAGTTGAGGGAAACATCCTTTATCTCAGAATAGAGGAGGTTCCACAGGGTCTGGACCTGCCAGACACTGTGTCAGCCCCAGTAAGGTGCTGGTAAGACTGGAGGCCTGCAGTCAAAGACACACTCTAGTTACTTCCGCAGGGTCCTCAGGGGAGAGGCTCATCGGAGAAGAGGAGCCTGTGGGTTCCCTGAGCAGTTCCCTCAAGGAAACCTGCAGAGGCAGCTTTCAGTAAAACCAAGGTGATTTCTCCATGCTGAAGGGGATCGTGTCATTTTATCTCCTTTCCTCCAGGTCACTGAATCACCTTCTCTCTATCCCAAACTCCTTTTTACTGTCTCTTTCTAGAGTCATCATGCCTCGCGGTCAGAAAAGTAAGCTCCGTGCCCGTGAGAAACGCCGCCAGGCTAGAGAAGAACCCAAAAATGTGGCGGGTGCTCAAGCCACTGTAGCAGAGGAAGAAAAGTCTCCCTCTTCCTCATCTCCTCATGTCGAAGATACTCTGCAGCCGTCATCTGCTGCTGGAACACCAAGCAATCCGCAAGAACCTGCAACGGCCCCATCTGCCACCACTGCTGCTGCAGCTGGTTCATACACAAGATCTAATGATGAAGGTGCCAACAATCAAGCTGAGGAAAGGCCAAATGCCTCACAGGCCCAGGGTACCATTAAATGCTGGCAAAGAGATCCCATAGAAGAGAAGGTTGCTATGTTGGTGCATTACCTGCTGTACAAGTATCAAGTGAAAGAGCCCATTACAAAGGGAGATATGCTGAAAAATGTAATCCAGATGTACAAGAACCACTTCCCTGAAATCCTGAGAAGAGCTTCTGATCACCTGGAGCTGGTCTTTGGCCTTGACATGAAAGAAGTGGATCCCAACAGAAACACCTACGTCCTCATCAACAAATTAGAATTAAGCTGTGATGCAACCAGAGGTGTGCCTAAGACTGGCCTGCTGATGACCGTCCTGGGCATAATCTTCACAAAGGGCAATTGTGCCCCTGAGGAGCAAGTCTGGAAAGTGCTAAATATGATGGGGGTATACGATGGGGAGAAGCACTTCATCTATGGGGAGCCCAGGAAGCTCCTCACCGAAGATTTGGTGAAAGAAAAGTACCTGGAGTACCGGCAGGTGGCCAACAGTGATCCTCCATGCTATGAATTCCTATGGGGTCCAAGATCCCATGAGGAAACCAGCAAGATGAAAGTCCTTGAGTTTGTGGCCAAGATCCATGGTACCGTTCCGAGTGCCTTCCAAACCTGTTATGAAGAGGCTTTAAAAGATGAGGAAGAGAGAGCCAAAGCCAGAGTTGAAGCCAGAGCTCGTACCGCTGCCATGGCCAGTGCCCGTTCCAAGGGCAAGTCCAGCAGCCTCTCCTGCCGTAAGTGAAGTCTGAGAAAGAGTCTTTACTATGTTTATGAAGAGGGCAGCTAATGTTCTCATTAGTGGAGGGTTGGCTGAAGCTGGTGACAACATGTATAACATATGTTTTCTTGTACTATGTGGTAACTTGGATATTTGTTTAAATGTTGTTTCTTTGAATAGAATCCATGATTAGAAGTGATACAAGTCATACATTTATTGATGTTAATAAGATATAAGAGTTTTGCTGTTTTATAGAACAGATAGGGAAATTTTGCATCTTATTTAGTGATCTTGAACAAGATAACATAGTAGTGGATTAGGCATTTCCTTGTAAATGTGAAAACAACCAGCAGTAAAATAGTTGGGATCAAGAAATAGAGGGGTAAAAATGTAAAAGATGATAAATTCTTGAATTTCTTTATCACATTTACTGTGTTCTTTAAAAACTAAAATTAAGAGGTATACTTGGATGCAATTAGTTTATTCAACAATGTAGAAGAAAGTACATCTTAATAAAGTAGAGTTCTTGCACACTGACTCATTTATTTCTCAAACATTACATGGGCATCTTCTCTTTGGAAGGCTCTCTGCTAGTACTGAGAATGTCAGGATAAACAAGACCCAACTCTGCCCACTGAATTTTAGAGTCTAAGAGCAGCTGTCATGTAAGGAACATGGTGAGATATACTCTAAGACATAAAGGACGAGTCAAAAAGAAGGTGGGAGGATCCAGATGAGAGCAGTCAAGTGCAAATGCCCAGAGGCAAGTGGGTTTGGGACCTTGGGAAACTGCAA